CCCCCCGAAGGAGCCGCGACGGGCGACGGGAAATGGCAGGGGGAGGGGGGGGGGGGGGGGGGGGGCGGGGTGGTGAAAGGGACCCACCACGGGCCTGGTTGGAGGGCGGGGCCGCGAAAAGGGGCGGGGCCGCGACGAGGGGCGGGGCCGCGAAGTAGGGCGGGGCCGCTTCGAGGGGCGGGGCCGCGACACAGGGCGGGGCCGCGACGTAGGGCAGAGCCGCGACGGTCGGGCGGGGCCGCGACGTAGGGCGGGGCCGTGACGGTCGGGGCGGGGCCGCGACGTAGGGTGGGGCCGCGACTGTAGGGCGGGGCCGCGACGGTCGGGGCGGGGCCGCGACGTAGGGCAGGGCCGCTTCGAGGGGCGGGGCCGCGACGCAGGGCGGGGCCGCGACGGTAGGGCAGACGCCCGCCGCGCGCCTCGGGGCGCACAGCGGGCAAAGAACCGCCGCGCGCCCCGGGGCGCACGGCGGGCAGAAAACCGCCGCGCGCCTCGGGGCGCACGGCGGGAAGGAAAACCGCCGCGCGCCTCGGGGCGCACGGCGGGAAGGAAAGGTAGCAGCGGAAGCGAGGTGGAAACCCACCCACAGGATCGATCCAAGGGGATCGACCTGCTCTGATAGCATGACAAAAGTTAGAAGAAGAAAGAGGAATGAACTAGCAGAAATGGGGATACAAATAGCAAACCCTAGAAGGGTTGTACTCGCTATAGAGCACCCCACTACAGGCTAGAACATAAGAATAATATTCTGACAAGGTGCACTGTGTGGTTGTCAACATTAGGGGTGTTGGTCACATGCACAGTGGCGCTAAATGACAGCACTGTTGACGCAGCTCCCGATTGTCAGAACGTTGATTAACAGGGTGTAGATGCTCTTTGAGCATTTTTTGTTGGGCCAACATCACAGGCATGCAAAACAGTCTGGTAACCCTATTCGATTGTATGCAAAACCATCGATACCCCAGTTCCACTGCGCAAATCTGTCTGGTACCGCCACTCAAAACACTGTGTAACAGCTGACGCAGCACAAAAAGGAAGCAATACTTGCAAGAATGATTACGCTTTCGATTTCTTTTCATTCTATTCTTACCGCTCCTTGTTTGGCGCCTGACAACGATTCCTGCGAGCAACTATTTTCCGTCGAATGTGCACGACAATTTCGACCGAAAACTTCGTTGGAATGAAAGTAATATATATATTGCTACCGGATACTGTTAGGGCAGGCAAGAAAAAACTGAAACCCCTAGGGACCTGGACTTATTTCAGGGAGGGATCAACCCTAAACACGGGAAAGGGCATTGTTTTTAGGGTTGATGCCTCCCAGGTTGCATCCCTTTCCGTTTGGGTTTTATTTTTTCTGCAGGTGTAGCGAACAGTGTTGCTCATATGGCAGAACAGTCGCCAGAATATATCGAATTTTAGAGGAAAGAAAAGCATAGTAAAAATCCGTTTTTGAATTAAATAGAACCGCGATTCCAGGGCAATATGTCAATACCTCCAAAACCGAGGTATCGTCGGTTTTGCATACAATCAAATAGGGTTACCATACTATTTTGCATGCCTCTGATGTTGGCCCTTTTTTGTTGGACTCCTCTCAATCAAGGCCGGCGCCCCAGATGAAAGAAGGGAGGCGCTCGGGTTTTGGTTCTTCACAAGCCATGTAATGTGACGAAATAGCCCGCCAACATCTCTGAGGGGGTGTCCGAAGTGAAACGTCGATGGATGTCGGCGGATGCCGGCGGGTGTCGGCGAATCCTGACGGTCGGAATATCTGATCCGAGGGCTGATATGTATCGACATCCCCAAACGGATGTCAGCGGATGTCGACGTTTCACCCCCTAATTGTACTTGAGGGATCCCAAAATGAGCACTGACCCAAGTTCTTCCTTGAATGAGCTCTGCTCTGCTAGGCAAGCCAAGCGATGCGTGTTGTCGGGGTTTCGTAGATCTTCGTCTCAGGAGCTTATCGAACTTGAAACGAGAATGTTCAAGTTTAACTAGGGCCTAGGCTTAGGAGCCTAGGCCGAACTAGGATATCGAGTAGGTTGTTCCAAGGTGTGAGAGACGAGAAAGTTGGAATTGGGTTTCACTATAGGTTTCGAAGAATATATAGCAAAGGAAACAAAGAAGGTGCACCACCAAACAAGTTTATAATAACTACACTAACTACAGCTACAGGCAGTTACAATAATAAGTTCTGACAGAGCTGTCGTAACCATTCGCCTTGTGGTGTGCCCCCCTCACCGAAGTGGTAACTCAAACCCTACCGTCGAGTAATACTTGAGGACAATCCCGTGAATTCTGGTGGTCGATCCAGCCAATGAAACCGAGGCCCAACATTCTGCTTGTAGCGGGTCAGTACAGTTCACCCTTCCATCTGCTTATGTTTCTTATTCCAACACAGGTGTATGCAAGTGTGGTAGTAAGGATTTGTCTGGGTAGTATAACCTCTCTACTTTCTTTCTGCTTCGATTCTTGCTTACTGGTGCAACTCAAAGGCCACTGTCTGCTGTGTCAAACTGTCCTGATCCACGAAACATAAACTGCAAATACACAATCTGGAACGCCCTAAATGAAAGATAGAATGCAGCACTGGTAAGGTGCCTATCTCGCACATTCATATGCTTATATGCTACTCAATAATGCTCTACAATACAACATTGTACTGACAAGAAAGAACGACAAATCATACTAGTCCAATCATTTTTTCTTGTTGCAGCAAGGAACATCGCAGGACGAAAATCAGGACCTGGTCCCAGTTCTTGTTGAGTGAGCAAGAAGACACTTGTGATAATGTAGGAGGCAGGCTGGGTCTGGCTTTTTCTGCACTGTACAAGCGGACATGCTGCCATATCTTAGTGGGAGCTTTTGCGGGGGGGTTTCGTTTCGACATTCTTGGCATCAATGACGTACAGTACATTGCTACTAGGGAAACTGAATTTCCTTTCCACCGTGTACGTGAAGTGCTTTGTATGTGCTTACTGTATGTGTCATGTGTGCCCCAATTCTGGCCTTGAATGCTTCTATCACTTCATGTTTCATGCACCTCATCTCGGGCAGCCCATACAGTAATTTCATCGGCAGTTCCGGATGGCAGGAATGATACTGTAGAGAAGTTGTCGCGCTGGAGGGACTGAGGGGCGATTGATGGGAGGGATTTTTGAAGGATTGGTGGAAGGAAACTTGCGCACTTGTCAGTGGAGGCGGGTACTGATGGGTGTTACAAATCTTCATACCGTAGAAATATTGTACGGAAAACCGACGAACCGAACTGCAACTCTCACTAGTTATGTGTGGGCACGCGGCGCCACCTCTCCCTCCCTGAGCTCCCCCTTTGGTTGGTGTCTGGTCTGTTGGTGGTGTGGTGTGATGTGTACGGCCCTGTTCGATTGCACTTCATTCTTTGGTACAGCCCCACCTAAGTATAGCCGAGTCGGCCAAGGGTTTCCGAACCTGGGGTCACTACCTTCCAGATGCAGCTTGATTTGGGTTACAGTACTGACATCTGTAGAAACAGTCCAAGCCGCAACTGTCAGAACCGCATAGTCAAAGGATACACAACAGTCCAAAACTGCACGTCCAAAAGCACAACTCATTCTCCGTTTTTTTGTTTGTTGAAATTTGGACTCCATAAGCACCCTGGGCAGAAAATGGATCCGTACAAAAACAATTCAGTAGTTCAACGGGAAAATTGAACCCTCTTGGGTTTAGGGTAATTTTGTTTTTAGATTTTCACGAATACCCCACCAAAGTGCAGCGGACTCGCTGTCGTTTGAGCACCAAGCGTGAAACAGAACTCTTCAAAGTCCATTTTGCCCCTGGATCACTGTTCTTGACCAGCTGGCAAAAGTGTTTGGACCGCGGTCCGCAGTGAAAATTCCCGCACCAGATTTGTAGGTGCCCCGAACGTACTTGAGGCTCTGGTTTGGATCTGCCAAATCTCTCGGCGGGTTTAAAACCCTTGTTAGCCACTGCCGAGCCTTTACCGAGCCACGCAATACTTTGATAGGGCTGTGGTACCCCTGGACTTCAAAGCTATCGAACAAGGCCTAGGTGTGATTTCGCATATGTTGCGTGTATTCCCCCCCACCTCTCCACCTCCCAGCCCCTCCCCTCCCACCCCACCACCTTCCCCCCTCACTCCTTCCTTCCCCTCCCCTCCCCTCCCCTCCCCTCCCCTCCCTCGAATCAATCTTCTCTGTACTGCAGTGTTCATCGATTGTACAGTACGTGTACAACTGGATGAATCTTGGGGAGAGCGTCGTCCAGTCAGCGCACGACACACGGATGAATGGGCTCTTTTCTTCTGCTGTTCTTTCGATTCCTCCAGTTCACCCCTCCCCCAAACCTCGTCTCGTTCTTTCTTGTTCCATTCCCGAGGCTCTTTTCGCCTGAGGTAGTGTGGTGTTCTGGCTCCCCTCCCCTGCACTCTCCCAACATAACAGATTCAAGAGAGTTGCTTACCAGTAACAGCTGCGGTAGGGTGCTCCGCTCCGGGCTTCGCGTCGTGATGCTGTCGCGTCGCGTCGTGGCATGCGCAACTTCCGACGACTTACCTCCTTAGGACGCGCTTCTGCCGGTCCTGAGGAGGGAGTCGCTTACAGCCTGGCTTCACATTAGTGAATGTCTGCACCGAGAACGGTCTGCGTCTAAGTTTTTATTCGCATGAATGGGATGTAAAAAGCAGCATGTTGATTCGTGATGGACGGACCCGGCGATGCAGCGTGCAGCTTACTTAGCTTATCCGCGATAAGCCGGCCGAGTCGTACGGAGCTCGACTTCTCGAACACGAGCCTCTTGCCGTCTTGATTTTTTTCTGTTGTTATTTCTCGAATCGGATTTCATTTTCCGATTGTTTTCCTCCCGAGTATCCGAGTCATTTATAACTATCATCCTGAATCGTTGACCATTGGAAACGCGGCATACATGGAGGGTTCACGATATTGACCCCCGTTTAAAGCAGCGAGAGATCTGTTGTTCTTCTAACGAGGGTTTCAGTTATGGTAGCGGGAGGCACGGCCGTCGTCTCCCCTTCCGCCCCCTTTTCCGCGAATCCTTCCGCGTGGGAGCAGCACAGTCAGGCGCAGCTCCCCCCGTTCTCCGCCACTCCTTCCGCCACCTCCGCCATTCCTTCCGCCATTTCTTCCGCCGCTCCTTCCGCCGACCCTTCCTCATCCGCTTCCGCCAAACCTTGCGCATCCGCGGACATGGCTCTCCGCCCAGCCCCGCCAATGCGCTCATCAAGCGAGGGCAGCGGCGCAGTTCCCGCCTCCTCCGGAGTCGGGCTTTGCGCGGACGCGGAATGCGCGCGCGGAGGGTATGTACACCGTGGAGCCACGCGGGGAGCTTGCGGCGGAGCATGCGGCGCAGTAAGCGTTGGCGCAGAAATCCGTTCCGCGGCGGACTCTTCCGCGGCGGACGCTGGCGACGCGCAGCTGATATTCTACGTGGGGCTCGCGCACCGGGGGGTTGTGCTGGCGGACTACGGCAAGCAGAGGAAGCTCCTGCGTAGCCTTGTCGCGTCAGCGCTCCTCGAGATTCCGCACCACGTCAGCAGATTCTCCATGGTGCGGACCGCCCGCGTCCCTTGCTTCTCCCGCCAGCCGGCCTGTCGCCGCACATTGCTCTCGTAGCTCGTTTTCTCTCTCTTTTTGTTGCCCTCTCGTTCCGCTGCTCTCACCTCTTCGTCTCACTTTCTTTACTTCTACTTCTCCCCTACCCATTCCCGCCTCCCGTTCTCCTTCTGAGATTTCTTTCCACCTAGCTTTGCTTTCGCCTTTTCCTCCCTACTGCCGCTGTCCCCCACCCCTCCCCAGCCCTCATTGCGGGGTCTGCACCTGCCCGTCGCGTCCACCTCACCTTCCCCTCATCCCCTCGTCCCCCTCCCCTTCCCCTCCCCCCCCACCCCCCCTTCTCCCTCCCCCTTTCTCTTCTCATCCCCTTTCCCTTCCCCCTCCCCTCCTCATCCCCTTTCCCCTTCCCTTTCTCCGTTCTTCTCCCCTTTCTCCTCCCCCTTCCCCTTCCTCTCCCCCTGCTCTACCCGGATCCTAGGGTTACGGTCGCACCAACGTCCTGTTCGCCGTCGACCAATCAGGGCTCGCCGCGTTTGCAGTCGCTGACGGGGCGCTGGACCGTCCGCGCGCCTACTCTATCCTGAGTAGCATCCGATGTGCTTATATCGAGCTCTGCTCGCTCTCCGTCTCCCGCTCCCCCTCCTCCCCGGGCGCCACTCTCCGCTCCGCCTCCCCCCCTCCCTCCTCCACCTCCGCCTCCGCAATTCCCCCTTCCGCTCGCCGCGCCTTCTCCCCAATCTCCGCGCGCCCTCCCCCTTCTCCCCCGCTCCCCGCGTCGCCTCCCCCGGACACTCCTCCGCGCCCCGCCACCGCGGATCCCGCGTCGCTCCGCGCGTTCGCCAGGCGATTGGCCGGCGGCGTGGGCCACATCAGCAGCTCGAGCCGTTTCAGCAGCGGAGCGTGCCACGTCAGCGGCAGCGGGCACTGCCACAGGCTGAGTCACAGCAGTCGTGGGGGCAGCGGGCGCAGAGAAACGCAGGGCGGAGGGAGGGAGGGTACTTTTGTCGCTAGCAGTGGGGACAGTGGTAGCGATGGTAGCAGTAACACTTGCAATAGCAACGTGACGATTCGCGAAAGGGGAGATTCCGGGACCATGATAGGAAAGCACGAGGAAGGGACGACTGGACATTTGCTGCTGCTGAAGCAGAGCAGCGAAGGTGGATCCGCTCACTATAACGGGGATGCAACCGCTCCCTCTAACGCGGATAAACCCGCCCCCATTAACGGGCGCGGCGGCGCGCCTGTCTTCCTGCGTTCGCGATCCGCGCGCCAAGCGCACGTGATTGTACACGAGGCCCTCGAGCCGCGCCTGGAGGTGATTGTGTGGAGCGTGCGCGGGAGATTAAAACCCAAGGAGCGGCTCGAGTGCTACCCGGACGCGCCTCGGGCGTATCTTGTGAATCACTGCCAGGGGGAGAGACCAGGAGGGCGGAGAATGGCGGACTTAGGGGGCAGCGGAGAAGGGGGCGGGGGAGGGGGAGCGGGAGGGGGAGGGGGAGGTGAGAGAACCGGTGCTGCTGGTGTGGGTGGGGGGGGATTGAGGGGAATCGGGGGAGCGGGGGTAACCGGGGGAGCGGGGGGGATTGGGGGAGCGGGGGGCCGGAGGATGAGCGCGCGGGAGAGTCTTTTGAGTGAGCTGTCAGACGCGCTGAGGGGCGTGGAGGAGGGGGAGATAGGCGAGACGCGGGTGGTATCGCGTCACCGGCGCACGCGGAGAAACTCTCGATCCACATCGTCCCTGGAAGTCAATCTGACGGCCGAGGACCTTCCGCTGGCTCTTGGCGGTGGTTTTGCTGGTTTTGCCGGTGCTGGTACTGCTAGTGTTGGTGTAGGTGGTGCTGCTGTTGATAGTGCTGCTTCTGCCACTGCTGCTTCTGACACTGCCACCCACCCAAATGCTGTTGCTACTGCTGCCGCTACAGTCGCTGCTACAGCCGCCTCTGACGCTGCTACAGCCGGTGCTACAGCCGGTGCTGCAATTCGTGGTGGCAGGGGCGCGTTCGTGGGGGGTTACTATCACGCGCCGCGCACCATAGCAGGCATGGATGTGTGGGACGATGATGATTCGTCGTACGGCGACCTGCCAATCGGTGTCTCTGGTCGCATCTGCTCTGCGGTAGGCTTTGGGGCCATGGCGAGAACAGCGGATGCAGAGGCAGGGGCAGGGGCAGGGGCAGGGGCAGGGGCAGGGGGAGGGGGAGGGGCAGGGGGAGGCGCAGGCGAGTTGGGATTAGGGTTGGGGGATGTGAGGGTGTCACGGTCGTTCCCCGCGCCGTGTGCCCTTGCTGCCAGTGACTCGTGCCCTGCTCCCCCGCTTCCCAAGAGCAGACTACACGCAAGTCAGGGGGGTGCTGTGAGTAGCGAGACTGGCGCTGGCGCTGGTGCTGGTGATGTTGCCTGCACGGGTAGGCTCAGCAGTGGCAGCACTGTCAGCAGCATCGCCAGTATAATCAGCACCGGCAGCACCACCACCATTGGCAGCAGCAGCAGCAGCAGCAGCAGCAGTCAATACGAGCCCAACCCGCTCTCTCACCCATTGACTTTTTCCATGCCTTTCCCCTCCAACCCACTCGCTCACTCTCCCGTCCCTCTTCCCCCAAACATAAACCACTCCTTCCCTTCCCCTCTCTCCGCCTCCCTCCCTCCCCAACCCTCTCTCGCGCCTAAGCCCTCTCCCTTCCCCTCCCCTTCCCCCTCCCATCTCTCCAAACCCCCCCTTGCCCCTCCATCGGCCACCGCCTCCCCTTCTCCTTCCCCTTCCCCGTCCCCTTCCCCTTCCCCCTCCCCTTCCCCTTCCCCCAACGCCCTTCCTCCCCACTCCCCTTTCCCCCGGATGCCAAACCCCCGCATCGCGTCCCCTCTCGCCCCTGCTCCTCCCTCTGCTTCCCTTCCTACTGCTGCTCCTCCCACTGCTGCCATGCTCCCCCCACTCCATCCCTCCGCCGCCCCACCTGTTCCCCGCCCGGCTGCGGGATCTGATTACGAATCGTGGGTGGTGGATAGCGGCGCTTGGGGGGCAGCAAGTGGGGAGTGCCGCCCGGGTGCAGATGGTGCGGGGATGGGTGCAAGTGGTGTGGGGATGGGTGCAGATGGTGCGGGGATGGGTGCAAGTGGTGTAAGGATGGGTGCACCTGCTGGAGGGATGGCAGAAGGGGCAGTGGCAGCAGCAGGGGCAGCAGGAGGGGCAGCAGCAACACCATATGCACCAACCTCGCACCAAGCACTGGCTTATATTGGCCTGCAAGAGTATCACCAGGGGAGCACGCCTCAATTCCAACAATCATATATCGGCCCGCAAGGGTACTATGAGGATGAAGGGGAGGAGGATGAGTATGGCGCACCTGTTGATGCGTATGGTAACCGGGTAACCGGTAATCCGGCCCCTCTGCTGCCGCTCTCTGCCCCGGTTTACTCGCCCTACCCTCCCTTTCTTTCCTCAGCCGCTCAATACAGTAACACTGTGTATAACGGACCTGTCTACAGTGATGCCGGCTACAGTAACGCTGGTTATGGCGAGGGGGGAGCAAGCGGGCAAGAGGGCGACAAGGGGAGTGAGGGGCAGGAGGGGAAGGAGGGGAAGGAGGGGAAAGAGGGGCGATCAAAGGCCAAGAGCTTGCATGTGAGGCATGTGTCTATGGACGGGCAAGGGGAGACAGATGCTTCGGACTCTGCTTGTGCCGCTGGGATGGGTATGGATGGCATGGGTGCCGCTGGGTCGGCTGGTGCTGGGGGTGGTATCCGGGTTAAATGGGCACGACGGGGGCTGGGGACGAGTGTAGGCAAGGGAGGAGGAGGCGAGGGAAGGTTTGGAGGAGTGCACGTGCCGTGGGGGGTGCGGGGGAGTCGGGCAGGGGGAGGAAGGGGAGGGGGAGGGGGAGGGGGAGGGGGAGGGGGAGGGGGAGGGGAAGGGGGAGGGGGGAGGGGAGGGGGGAGGGTGAGGGGATCGGGGCCAATTCTGAGAAATGCATGGAGAATTATTAGAAGCAGCTCGCTTAGCGAGAGGCAGGGTGAAGGGGACGATGCCAATGCTGCTGCTGCCGCTGCCGCTGCTGCTGGTGGTGCCGGTGCGGCTAGTGCTGGTGGTTATGGTCCCGGTGGTGGTGCTTTTACTGCTGCTGCTGGTGGTGCCGGTGGTTCTGCTTCAGTAGGGAGTGCTGCGACTGCCTGTGATGGTGGGATGCTGCTGGGAGGGGAGCGGGAGCGGGAGGGCGGGAAGCGGTGGTTGCTGGGAGGTGGAGGGGGGAAGGGTTTGTGGAAGGGTGGACTGAGGGTGAGAAGGGAGGGGGGGGAAGGAAGTGGTCATGGGGGGAGAGGGCTACACCACGGTTCACAACACCATGGGGGTATGTTACAGGGTACACCTCCGGTTACACCGCCTGGTGTGCCTACTCCAGGAGGAGCGTTTTAAGCGAGGGTGATTACACCAGGGAAGCACATTGGGCTAGGGTGACTACAACAGGAGGAGCACACCTGATCTGGGTGACTACACAGTGATGGGCGCATTGGATTGAAATTACTACCCGGATATTCACTACAGTGGACTTGATTATGTGTGACGGTTACATTTTGGGTGTGTGTCGCATCGTGCGACCAAACTTAAGAGGCAGACGCTTGTGTTTTGAGTGTAAGTCGGTTTGCTGTTGGGGTGAGTGGGATACATGTACCACTGTCACGGATTACTGTACCATGGTGTTTGCACAAGCAAAGTGTGCCACATGATTGTTTGTTAGTCATATTTCAGGCAATACAGCGATGCTGTTGGCATTGTTCGCTTTGATATTCTGGTGACACTTTGAAAAGTGCACTTTTCTCTTCAGGTGAAAGCATACCGCACAGCGTATATGAGGTGAGCTGATGACAAATAGAGAGTGTAGGCCAACCGATCATACGGTAGGTAGTGAACAAATGTACCCGACATCGCCCGGATATAAGACAGTGTCGAATTGAAGACAGGGGGTGTCGTTAAAACGGGTGTTTCTTATAGATGGGTGTTCCTGATTATAAGACAACTGTCGGTGTGTACGAGTTGAGCCAGTATAGGGGTTAGGGGCAATCTTATGACGAGGGGGTATCTTCTAAACGGTTTTTTGTCCATTTATAAGAACTATAAGACACCCTAAACCGTCCCAATTACAAGACACAGCAAGCTTTTTTTCTAATGTATAAGATAAGACATATATGTCTTCTATCCGGGCGATGACGGTAATTGTCCGCACTGATCCTGCTTCTTTCGAGTATTGAATGTGACCACCATGTACCCGTACATAGTGTTACGATCGGAACGAATCATCACCTAGGATCGCCTCGGGACGATTCGCACACAATCGTAAGGTAGTGGTGGGCCCTTGACCTCAATTCAGAGTGAATGTAATATGAATGAGATAATTTAAAACATGCAAACAAGAGATACAAATAGTAGCACAAGGGAACACCAAACGACTTAGCTAGCCATGTCAAAACATTATAGCTTATACATTTGTGTAGGGTACAACCCAATTAGGGGTACAACCCAATTAGGGTTAGTACTTGTACCCAGCTGTTTCATAGTTCAATCATTCTCTCGTTCTAATCTTCACATGGTATAGAGCTGGTTCCCTCGTGGGAACTGTTCCTAGGGCCCACCGTTTTTTTTTCCTGCCCGGAGCACGCTTGGCCCCTGCCCGAGTCGCGCCCCGTGTCGTTCCCCCCTCGCGGCCACTAGCGGCCCCTCTTACGGCCCCTAACGTCCCCGTCGCGCCGCCCTTGCGGGCCCGTCGCGCCGCCCTTTAAGCGGCTCCGTCGCCGCCCCTTACTACGGCCCCGTCGCCGCCCTTTCAGCGACCCCGTCGCCGCCCTTTCAGCGGCCCCGTCGCCGCCCTTCCGCGGCCCCGTCGCCGCCCTTCCACGACCTCGCCGCCCGCCCTTGCAGCGGCCCCGTCACCGCCCTTCCGCGGCCCCGACGCCGCCATTCCATGGCCTCGTCGCCGCCCTTCCGCGGCCCCGTCGCCGCCCTTTCAGCGGCCCCGTCGTCGCCCTTTCAGCGGCCCCGTCGCCGCTCGCCCTTTCAGCGGCCCCGTCGCTGCCCGTCCGCGGCCCCGTCGCCGCCCTTCAGCGGCCCCGTCGCCGCCCTTCAGCGGCCCCGTCGCCGCCCTTCCGCTACCCAGTCGCCGCCCTTTCAGCGGCGCGTCGCCGCCCTTTCAGCGGCCCGTCGCCGCCCTTTCAGCGGCCCGTCGCCGCCCTTTCAGCGGCCCCATCGCCGCCCTTCCACGGCCCCGTCGCCGCTTAGCCGCCTAGAGCCCAGCCACCGAGCAGCCGAGCCGCCGAGCAGCCGAGCCGCCCTGCAGCCGAGCCGCCCGACCGCCGAGCCGCCCAACAGCCGAGCAGCCAATCAGCCGAGCCGCCCGACCGCCGAGCCGCCCTGCAGCCGAGCCGCCCAGCAGCCGAGCCGCCGAGCCGCACCGCAGCCCACGCGCTGCCGCCTGTCGGCCTGCCCGGGACTGCCCCACTTGCCTGGTAAGAGCAGCGCCTCTGCCACTGCACTGCCCTGCCCCACTGTACTCGGTGCCTGTCTACTGCTGTCATAGCCTCCCCTAGTGTTCTCACCTTTGACGCTGAGGGTCGGGCAGTTGACTTTGAGGTCTGGGTAGATGATCTGCAGCTTTTCCTACAGTGCGATAGGGCAGACGGTCTCTCCTTGTTTGACCTCACTTCTGGTGCCTCTCCTGCCCCTGTTGCTGATGCTGACGCCACTGTTCGCTCACAGTGGGCCACGCGTGATGCTGCTGCTCGCCTTGCTGTGCGCCGCCACTTACCGACCACTGAGCGTGCACACTTTAGCCAGTACAAGAGTGCTCAGACCTTGTAGATCTTAGCCTCACAACTGGAGCCGAGAAATGAAGACGAGCGTGTAGAACACCAGGAAACCGAACCAGAGCCAAGGCTGAAGGTGTAACCCTGTGACGACCGCTGCGTAGGTAGGTCGTCAACCCAAGAAGCGTCCGAGAGCCCAGTGAGGACAACTGGGCTCCGCTCTCCAAGCACGAGCCCCATGCCCGATGTACTGCACAAGTAGCGCAGTACCCTCGTAGCAGCATCCATGTGCACCTTTCGATGCCTACCAGGAGCCACGTAGCGAGCCAGAAGGCCAAGAGGGTACGCAAGGTCAGGTCGAGTGCAGGTCATCAGGTACATGAGGCAGCCCACTAGCTCTGGGTATGGGCCACTCGGCTCTACGGACTCGTCCGAAGGTGGAGCTGAGAGCGAGTGGCCTATGGTCAGAGGAGTGTGCTGTGGCGAGGACCAGGTGAAGTCGAAGCGCTGAAGGACCTGCGGAACCATGTCTGACTGAGTCAGTGTGATGGTGCGGCGTGCTCTGTCCCGGGTGATCTGCAAGCCAAGGTAGCTGCGCAGCTCACCCAGGTCTGTGCACGTGTGTCTCTTTTGCAGCTCCGACTTCACCAGGGTGAGAGCCTCAGGGTCAGTAGTGGCGAAGACCAAGTCGTCGACGTACAGGCGGATGTTGAACATCGGCATGTCAGAACATTATAGCATATACATTTGTGTAGGTTGTAGTGGGGTAGCCCATAAGGGGTACAACCCAATTAGGGTTAGTACTTGTACCCAACTCTTTCATAGTTCAATGATTCTCTCGTTTCATTCTTCACATGGTATAGAGCTGGTTCCCTCGTGGGAACTGTTCCTAGGGCCCACCAACTTTTTTTTCCTGCCCGGAGCACGCTTGGCCCCTGCCCGAGTCGCGCCCCGAGTCGTCTCCCCTCTAGCGGCCTCTAGCGGCCCCTAACGGCCCCGTCGCGCCGCCCTTGCGGCCCCGTCGCGCCGCCCTTGCGGCCCCGTCGCGCCGCCCTTGCGGCCCCGTCGTGCCGCCTTTGCGGCCCCGTCACGCCGCCCTTACGCGGCCCCGTCACGCCGCCCTTGCGGCCCCGTCGCGCCGCCCTTGCGGCCCTGTCGCGCCGCCCCCTTACACGGCCCCGTCACGCCGCCCTTGCGGCCCTGTCACGCCGCCCTTGCGGCCCCGTCGTGCCGCCCCTTACGCGGCCTCGTCACGCCGCCCTTGCGGCCCAGTCGCGCCGCCCCTTGCGGCCTCGTCGCCGCCCTTCCCTTCGGCCCCGTCGCCGCCCTTTCACGGCCTCGCCGCCCGCCCTTCCAGCGGCCCCGTCGCCCGCCCTTCAGCGGCCCCGTCGCCCGCCCTTCAGCGGCCCCGTCGCCCGCCCTTTTAGCGGCCCCACCGCCGCCCGCCCTTTCAGCGGGCCCAGTCGCCGCCCTTTCAGCGGCCCGTCGCCGCCCTTCCCTCGGCCCGTCGCCGCCCTTCCCTTGGCCCTCCGCTGCCCTTTCAGAGGCCAGTCGCCGCCCTTTCAGCGGCTTGTCGTCGCCCTTTCAGCGGCCCTATTGCCGCCCTTCCACGACCCCGTCGCCGCCTGAGCAGCCGAACCGCCGAGCCGCCGAGCCGCCCAGCAGCCGAGCCGCCGAGCACCCGAGCCGCACCGTAGCCGAGCCGCCCGACCGCCGAGCCGCCCAGCAGCCGAGCCGCCTGACCGCCGAGCCCCCGAGAAGCTGAGCCTCCCGACCGCCGAGTCGCCGAGCCGCCCGACCGCCCCACTTGCCTGGTAAGAGCAGAGTCTCTGCCACTGCACTGCCCTGTCCCACTGTACTCACTGCCTGTTTATTGCTGTTATGGCCTCCCCTAGCGTTCTCACCTTTGACGCTGAGGGTCGGGCAGTTGACTTTGAGATCTTGGTAGATGATCTACAGCTTTTCCTACAGTGCGATAGGGGAGACGGCCTCTCCCTGTTTGACCTCAATTCCGGTGCCTCTCCTGCCCCTGCTGCTGATGCTGATGCCACTGTTCGCTCACAGTGGGCCACGCGCGATGCTGCTGCTCGCCTTGCCGTGCGCCGCCACTTACCGACCACTGAGCGTGCACACTTTAGCCAGTACAAGAGTGCTCAGACCTTGTACGACGCTGTAGTTGCACGCTACTCTTCCCTTGCCACTGCTGCACTAAGCCGCCTCATGCTACCGTACCTCTTCCCTGACCTTGCTCCCTTTCCCACTGTCGCTGACCTCATTACGCACCTCCGCACTAGTGACACTCGCTACCGCGCTGCGCTTCCTGCTGAGTTCTGCGCCAAGAACCCCCCCCCATGTACATCACCCTCTACTACATAGTCACTCGGCTCCTTGACTCTCTCCGCGTAGTCAGGGACCACTTCCTCTCATTTTTCCCCACCACTCTCACCGTTGACCTCCTCGAGAAGGCCCTCCTAGCGGCAGAGAAGAGCATAGTCGCTGTAGGAGCCTCTCGTGGTGACCCTCGCACCCCCGTCTTTGAGGGGTGTTCTCCCTCCCCCCTCTTGCCCTCTGTTGCTTCTGCTGCTGCGGCCGACCTCGTTGGCTTCGAGTCGATTGGCGCTGCGTCTGCCCTAAGCGGGAGACGCCGCACCGACAAGGGCAAGGGGGACAAGGGCGCTGGAGGGGCTGGCGGGGGCGGTGGAGGTGGTGGTGGAGGCAGTGGAGGGAGTGGGGGTGGTGGTGGGAGTGGTGCCGGGGGTGGCGGCGGCGGCGGCAGTAGTGGAGGCGGCGGAGGCGGTGGTGGTGGCGGAGGGAGCGGAGGCGGCGGAGGTGGCGGAGGAGGCGGAGGTGGAGGAGGCGGCGGAGGCGGCGGTGGCGGCGGCGGTGGTGGAGCGGGTCGCGACTCTGCGCAGAGGAGTGGCTCAGGTGGTGGTTCGCGCCAGCAGCAGCGGAGTGGTGTGACCCTATCCCCTCTGCAGCTTCGTGAGTGGTACACTGCGCGTCAGCGCGGTGGGGGTTTTGGTCCCTGCACTTACGTCCTCCGTACCGCCGACCAAGCTGGTGAGCAGTGCGGAGGCCCGCACTCCACCCAGCGCTGCTTCGGTTGCCTGACGGACGCGTGGAGTCGCCAGTTCCCTGAGGCGAAAGAGATCCCTCGATTGGGAGATCTATCTAGGGCGGGGGTTGCCGTCTTTGATCTTGACTATGATGCTATCCTTGCTGCCATGCATTCTGTGACTACTAGTGTTGAGGGTGACTGTTACCTGTGTGTACCGCCTGACCCGGGCATTGAGGCTAGTGCTCTAGGTAATGGTGAGGCTGCTGCTCTAGGTGCTAGTGCGTCTGCTGCCCCAGGTGCCAGTGCATCTGCTGCCCCAGGTGCCAGTGCGTCTGCTGCCCCAGGTGCAAGTGCGTCTGCTGCCCCAGGTGCTGATGAGTCTGCTCTCTCAGGTACTACGTCGGCTCAGGCCTTCCACACCTTCACCCTTGACTCGGGCGCGTCCCGCTCCTTCTTTCAAGACCGCACCACTCTTACGCTGCTCAGTCAGCCAGTTGCAGTCTCCTTGGCAGACCCCTCTGGGGGTCCTGTCCTTGCTAGCTTCTCCACTGTCTTACCGTGCCCGGCGGCCCCCTCTGGCACCTTGTCAGGTCTCTACCTGCCCTTGTTCTCTACGAAATTGGTGAGTTGAGCGGACCTACAGGATAGGGGGGTTGACCAGTTCTGTCCTGCGAGTCAGCGAGTGACCCACTACACGTGTGCTCGGACAGGCCGACACTTGGCCACGTTCACTCGTCGGCCAGGGTCAAGCCTGTACACCCTTACTGCTGAGTCTCCTCCTGCTGCTGAGTCTGCCCAGGTAGCTGCGTCGAGTTAGGTGTTTGCTACAGCATCCAGGTCTGGTCGTGAGTTTGCTCCCTGCTCGTGTCGTCTGCTGTCCCACAAGACTCTCCTTTGGCACCACTGCCTTGGTCACCCCTCCCTGCCTCGTTTCCGCGGCATGGCCTCCCGTGTCCTTGTCTCTGGTCTCCCTCGGTCTCTCCCTACCCTACCTCCGAGGCATGGCCCTACCTGCGTCCCCTGCGTCAAGGGGCGACAGCGCGCCGCCCCTCACTCCTCCGAGTTTCCTACGACAGAGGCTCCGCTGGAGACTCTCCACATGGACGTGTGGGGCCCAGCCCGCGTCAGTGGGAAGGGGCGCGAGCGGTACTTCCTGCTGGTGGTTGACGACTACTTGCGTTACACCATAGTCTTCCCCTTGCGTAGCAAGGGTGACGTCACTGAGATGTTGATCGACTGGATCCACGAAGCTCGTCTACAGCTCAGAGGGAGTTTCGGCTCGGACTTTCCTGTTCTGCGTCTGCACTCAGACAGAGGCGGGGAGTTTTCCTCTGCTCGTCAGGGAGCCTTCTGTCGTGCACAGGGCCTCCGCCAGACCTTCACGCTTCCGGCCTCTCCACAGCAAAATGGGATTGCTGAGCGCCGCATTGACATGGTCATGGACGTCGCTCGTACGTCCATGATGCATGCGGCTGCCCCCCATTTTCTGTGGCCGTTTGCGGTTCAGTACGCCGCGCATCAGCTCAACCTTCAGCCCCGGGTCTCCTTGCCCGAGACCTCTTCCCGCCTTGCGTTGGACCGGGAAGGTTGGCGATGCATCTGCGTTTTGGGTCTCGGGATCTCGGGCGTTTGTTCGCGACTTGTCTGCGGACAAGCTGTCCCCCCGTGCTGTTCCCTGCATCTTCCTTAGCTTCCCCCTTGACGCGCCTAGGTGGCAGTTTTACCACCCCACCTCGCGCCGTGTTCTTTCCTCCCAGGACGTCACCTTTGATGAGTCGGTGCCTTACTACCATCTCTTCACCTACCGCACTGCGCCTCTCCCCCCGCCGCCGCTCTTCCTTGCACCAGGTCCTCCCCCGGTAGACCCCCTCCCCCCTCGGGGTCTTGCCCCGTTAGGTGTGTCCCAGGTAAATGCAGTCGAGCCTCTCGAGGTAGCTATTGACTCTAGTGCTGCTAGAGGTGCAAAGCCTGCGGGTGTCGGGTCTGGGGGTGGTGAGTCTGGGGGTGCTAAGACTGGGGGTGCTGAGTCCGGGGGTGCTGAGCCTGGGGGTGCTGAGCCTGGGGGTGCTGATCCTGGGGGTGCTGAGTCTGGGGGTGCGGAGCCTGGGGGTGCGGAGCCTTGAGGTGAGGAGCCTAGGGGCGCTCGGTCTGCTCGTGTGACCGCCGGTGGTGCTTCGTCGAGGCGGGAGCCACTCTCTCTACGGGAGCTGCAAGAGTGGTTTGCCCGCCGCTGGAGACGTGCTACTTAGATTGGGGGTGCTGCTAGGGCTACTGGAGTTGGTCCTGCTGGAGCTGCTGGCGGTACTAGTGCTGCTAGAGCTGGCGTTGGTGTTTCTCCTGGCGCCGGTGCGTCTGGGGGTGCTCCTGAGGCTGCTGGAGCTGACGGTCCTACCGGAGTTGGTGCTCCTAGAGCTGGAGCTGCTGGGGTGTTGGTGCTGGTGGTGCTGCTGGCGCTGGTGCTTCTGAGGGTGCTGGAGTTGGCGCTGGTGGAGCTGGAGGTGCTGCTGGCGCTGGTGCTGCCGCTGTGGGTACTGGTGCTGTCCTTGCTGGTTTTGGAGGCGCTGTGCGGCCGAGGTCGTACTTCGTTCCGCTCGTGGAGCAAGTTCTTGGTCTCCCGCCCTCTACTGGTCCTGCTCCTCCCTTAGAGTGTCCATAGCCTGTCCAGTCGCAGTCACAGTTACAGCCCGCCTCCCCTCTACCTGCTCCTTCTCCCTAAATTGGTCCTACTGGAGGTCTTGCTGAGCGTCGTGAGCCTGCGTCTCGTCCTGCGTCGCCTGTTCGTGCTTCTCGCACTAGTGGTCGTACTGCGCGTCCGCGTCCTCCTGCGGTCCCTGGCACACACCAGATGGCACTGCGTCCTTCCACTGCTCCTCTGCGTGTCCCGTTGCCGTCTCCTCCAGAGTCCTCTCTTCCTACTCTTGCTGACCTGGAGTCAGACTCCCTTCGTACTGCTAGTCCGTCAGTCACGCGCCTTCTTGCTACTGTTGTCACTGACCCTTCCTTTGAGTCCACTACTGCATCTGCCCTCGTTGCCGAGCTTGTCGACTTCGCTGCTCGCTGACGTCTAGACTACGCTGCTAGTCTCGTTGCTGAGTCTGAGTCTGTCTGTCCTTCGTCCGTCGGGGGTGAGTGTGCTCTTAGCACGGACGTCCTTGAGGACGGGCAAGAGGATTTCCAGTGCTTTGCTGCTGCTTTGCCCCATCTCGTGTCCACGCTGATTGCCCCTGACAGAGACCCGGATGCACCAGACATCCCGACTCCTCGATTGTACGCTGAGGCGATCAAGGGTCCCTACTCCTCTCAGTGGTAGTCAGCCATGGACGCAGAGATGGCTTCCTGGAAGTCCACAGGAACCTAGGTCGACAAGGTTCCCCCACCTGGGGGGAAAATCGTCAGTGGCATGTGGATTTTCAGGGTGAAGTGGCCGCCGGGTTCTTCGCCTGTCTTCAAGGCGCGTTACGTGGCTCGAGGCTTCAGTCAGCAGCAGGGAGTTGACTACTTTCAGACCTTCTCTCCCACCCCGAAGATGACCACTCTTCGGGTGCTGCTGCACATAGCCGCTCAGCGCAACTACGAGCTTCACTCTCTTGACTTCAGCACAGCTTTTATGCAGGGCAGCCTGCACGAGGAGATCTGGCTGCGCCGCCCACCTGGCTTCACTGGGTCGTTTCCGCCTGGTACCCAGTGGAGCCTCCGGCGGCGAGTCTACGGTCTCCGCCAGGCGCCCCGTGAGTGGCACCACACACTGAGGACTACACTTGCGGCTCTTGGGTTTGCTCCTTCTACACCGGCCCGTCGCTGTTTCTGCACACCGACACCTCTTTGCCGCCGTTCTACATCCTCGTGTACGTCGACGACTTGGCCTTTGCCACTGCTGACACTGGTGGACTCGCCCATGTGAAGTCCGAGCTGCAGAAGAGACACACGTGCACAGACCTGGGTGAACTACGTAGCTACCTTGGATTGCAGATCACCCGGGACAGAGCACAGCGCACCATTACCCTGACTCAGTCACACATGGTGCAGCAGGTCCTTCAGCGCTTCGGCTTCACGTACTCCTCGCCTCAGGCCACTCCTCTGTCTACTCGCCACTCGCTCTCAGCTCTGCCTTCGGATGAGTCCGTAGAGCCGAGTGGCCCGTACCTAGAGCTTGTTGGCTGCCTCATGTACCTGATGACCTGCACACGACCTGATCTTGCATACCCTCTTAGCATATTGGCACGCTATGTTGCTCCTGGGAGACACCGACCAGAACACATGGCTGCAGCGAAGAGGGTGTTGCGCTACTTGTGCAGTACGTCGGGCATGGGGCTAGTGCTTGGAGGGTGATGTCGAGTGGTCCTCATAGGTCACGCAGACGCTTCTTGGGCTGACGACTAGGCTCTGCAGCGGTCGTCACAGGGTTACACCTTCAGCCTTGGCTCCGGCTCTGTTTTGTGGCGGTCTACCCGCTCGTCTTCTGTTCTCAGCTCCAGCTGTGAGGCTGAGATCTACCCAGGGGCCATGGCTGCACCGGAGCTACGCTGGCTCACCTACCTGCTGACTGAGCTAGGAGAGCCACCTCGTTCTGCTCCAGTTCTGTACGTAGACAACAAGGCCATGCTGGCCTTATGTCAGGAGCACAGACTGGAGCACAGAATGAAGCACATTGCTCTCCGCTACTTTCTGGCTCATGAGCTGCACCAGCGTGGTCAGCTTTGCCTCACCTACGTGGCCTCTGAGGCCAACACTCCTGATATCTTCACTAAGGCCCTTCCGCCTTGTGACCATCAGCGCTTCTGTACTTTGGTAGGTCTTGTGCCTACGTGGCCTCACTTGCTCACTTCTTGATCTTGTTTGTATTGTACTCTTTCTTTACCTGCACTTGCTTGTTTACCTTTATATATATGATCTTGCATGTGAA